AGGGGTTACATCACGTTTTTTATCAAAATCGGGGTCGGTTCGAAAATCAAACCTTTTTTGATGATTTTTTTTTAGTTTCTCGGGCAAATAAAGTCTGATTTTCAAATATTATACCTTTTTGAGATTGTACGAATCTCTATTATCAATTGGCATTCAAACAAATTGAAAATCGATGGGTTACAAAAAGATGTGGACCCGAAAATGATTCGTTTGTAAAGTCAACCTTTCCTTATGATTTGTTTGAATATCTCGGCCATATAAAGTCAGATTTTCAAATTTTATACCATTTTGGACTCGTAAGGATCAGTACTATCCACTGGCATCAAAAAATAGAAAATCTAAATTTTGACCCAAATCAGCCAAAATGGCAAGGGGTTACATCACGTTTTTTATCAAAATCGGGGTCGGTTCGAAAATCAAACCTTTTTTGATGATTTTTTTTTAGTTTCTCGGGCAAATAAAGTCAGATTTTCAAATATTATACCTTTTTGAAATTGTTCGAATCCCTATTGTAAATTGGCATTCAAACAAATTGAAAATCGACGGGTTACAAAAAGATGTGGACCCGAAAATGATTCGTTTGTAAAGTCAACCTTTCCTTATGATTTTTTTGAATATCTCGGCCAAATAATGTCAGATTTTCAAATTTTATACCATTTTGGACTCGTAAGGATCAGTACTATCCACTGGCATCAAGAAATAGAAAATCTAAATTTTGACCCAAATCGGCCAAAATGGCAAGGGGTTACATCACGTTTTTTATCAAAATCGGGGTCGGTTCGAAAATCAAACCTTTTTTGATGATTTTTTTTTAGTTTCTCGGGCAAATAAAGTCTGATTTTCAAATATTATACCTTTTTGAAATTGTTCGAATCCCTATTGTAAATTGGCATTCAAACAAATTGAAAATCGACGGGTTACAAAAGGATGTGGACCCGAAAATGATTCGTTTGTAAAGTCAACCTTTCCTTATGATTTTTTTGAATATCTTGGCCAAATAATGTCAGATTTTCAAATTTTATACCATTTTGGACTCGTAAGGATCAGTACTATCCACTGGCATCTGAAAATAGAAAATCTAAATTTTGACCCAAATCGGCCAAAATGGCAAGGGGTTACATCACGTTTTTTATCAAAATCGGGGTCGGTTCGAAAATCAAACCTTTTTTGATGATTTTTTTTTAGTTTCTCGGGCAAATAAAGTCTGATTTTCAAATATTATACCTTTTTGAGATTGTACGAATCCCTATTATCAATTGGCATTCAAACAAATTGAAAATCGATGGGTTACAAAAAGATGTGGACCCGAAAATGATTCGTTTGTAAAGTCAACCTTTCCTTATGATTTTATTGAATATCTCGGCCAAATAATGTCAGATTTTCAAATTTTATACCATTTTGGACTCGTAAGGATCAGTACTATCCACTGGCATCAAGAAATAGAAAATCTAAATTTTGACCCAAATCGGCCAAAATGGCAAGGGGTTACATCACGTTTTTTATCAAAATCGGGGTCGGTTCGAAAATCAAACCTTTTTTGATGATTTTTTTTTAGTTTCTCGGGCAAATAAAGTCAGATTTTCAAATATTATACCTTTTTGAAATTGTTCGAATCCCTATTGTAAATTGGCATTCAAACAAATTGAAAATCGACGGGTTACAAAAAGATGTGGACCCGAAAATGATTCGTTTGTAAAGTCAACCTTTCCTTTTGATTTTTTTGAATGTCTCGGCCAAATAATGTCATCGATCGATAGTACTGATCCTTACGAGTCCCAAATGGTACAAAACTCCAAAATCTGACATTATTTGGCCGAGATATGTCAAAATCTCATCAAAACAGGCTGAGATTACAAACTTATCGGTTTTTGGTCAACAACTTTTTTGAACCCATCGATTTTTAATTTGTTTAAATGCAATTTGATAATTGGGATCCTTACGAATTTAAAAAGGTATAAAATTTAAAAATCAGACCATATTTAACCAAGATATTAAAAAAATTACATCAAATAAGTTTCAACTTTTGAAACGACCCCGATTTTACTTGCACTTAAATCTGACGGGTAGGCAGCATGGGTAGATAATTGATCTTTTGATCTTTAGAAACGACATATCTCCGCGCTTTGCGGAATACATTCATATGCAATTTGGGGCGCGCAAATGTATACATGTATGTACATACAAAAAAGGTGGGCTTTTGTCTGCTTTAAGGCTGAAAATTTTAACTTATAAAAAAGTTTACTATAAAAAATATCTATTCTTTGTTTGCGCCCTTAATCTACTTGAAAGAAGTAAGGTTGCATTTTAATTTAATAAATTTACTGCATTCTATTTTTTTGTCTACTTAACTAGGAAAACTAGAGGAGAAGAGGAGATTGAAACAAACTACGACACCTGTGACACCTGTTTGGACCAAATTGTTGCCTACAATAAATCGAACGATGATTCTTTAAATGAAAAAACTAAACCACTGACGACACAGCAATCCTCTGCAAAGCCGGCTATGTATACCAAGCCAAGAATACTTGCACGAATTCGAGATGTGGGCATCTAAGTGGCGAAAAGACTACAACAGGCAACAATCGTATGCTCAAAGAGACCTAAAGATTTCCTTAGTGGGTGACCTCTTACGACAGCAATCCACTGGCAACCTCCCAAACTTAGATAAAGAAAACTGTAATGTTAAGTATGTTGTAAAGCTAGGTTAAGATGCTCAAGCATAATAATATCAACAAATTAGTCAATAAAAGAAAAAAAAACGAAAAAAAAATAAACCTAAGTGTCCAAGCTGTAAACAAGAAGTCGAAGAGGCAATAAGTAATGTATTTATTTACACTTAAAAAACTGTAACACCTGGTAATGGCAAACAGTCAATAAAAATATGGATTAATAATTTTGAAACGTCTGCGTTTTTACTCTGGTTAAAAGAAAGCAATGACCCTGTAGTTTAGAGGGCTAAGCTCCGCGATTATCTAGAATATCAATTTAAAATGAAAACATAATAACTGCGAACGTAGTGACTCCGCGCGTTATATGACGTTTGAAAACAACATAAATCAGCAGTTGATCATGGTGAGATTCTCTCCAAATTCAACGATGTAATTTTCAAACGTTATATCTCTGCGCGGAATTATGTTGTATGTTGTATGTTGATAAATAAAAATATCATCAAATAAGTTTAAATTGTTGAACCGACCCCGATTTTGAAAAAAACGTGACCCCTTTTATTTTGTCGATTTTGGCCAAAATTTAGATTTTCAACTTTTTGATGCCGATCGATAGTACTGATCCTTACGAGTCCCAAATGATATAAAATTAAAAAATCGGACATTATTTGGCCGATATGTGCCAAAAATCATCAAAAAGATTGACGGATTCCATTATTGACAAACAGATCCAATTTTATTAAAAGCTTCGGCTCAGACAAATTCTGTTAAAACCCAGCAAGTATTCACTATAGAGTATAACTTAAGAACTGTATCTTTCTCTTTCTTTTACGGTCATATGCCATAGCAGGGTATGCAACAAAAGCAAACGCCGTCGATTCAGGCTAAAAGCGTGTCCCACTAACGTCATTTCGGCGAAAAAATAGGCGAGCTTTTTTTTTGCCGAGCGACTCAGTTTTCCTTAAAGAGCTGCATGGTTCCAGTTTTTGCTTAAATAAGAGGAGCCAAAATGTGATCCAGATGGATTCCACTGACATGGGCTCATTATGCGCTTTGGCTTTGACAACTGAATGGAGATTGTGAGTGATATGTGCCCGGCTGAACAAATGGCTGCCGCAGTTTGTGGCACAAACGCAATACCGTTCCGATGCAAAACAATTACACAAATGTCAGCGGCCGCATGCGAACTGCTGCTGCTATCCTTTGTTGGCCCAAACGACTGATGCCTGATGCGTTGGTGCTAATATCAAATGTTAATGCCTGCTGCCTGATGCCATTATGACGCACAAATAGAATTGTGTACAGCGAAAAATAGTATTTAACGCGCGGTTTGGCAATAAATGTCAGTTGGGGCCAAAGTCCGCAATATGGCAGCTGTCGTTGTCATTTCTCGTGTCCGTAGCCGCATTCGCATCCGCGTTGTTTGCCATTTATCTGATTTATGCGGCTGTCAGCGCGGCCCCAGGAGTTACCAGCACCAGATGCTGGGGTTACAAACGAACACACAGCTCGACCTTTCATCGGACAGCTGTTGGCGCACGGATACGGCAATGCGGCTGATTGACAAACCTCTATTTGCCAAAATGAACCGTTTGACATGCGGTTCGATGGCTCTTCTGGCCGCAGTGGTTGCCTCTGTTTCAGCCCGTTACACAAATGCAGGCTAAAAATTGCTTTTGTGTCGAGCCCAAACAATTTGCCTTGATTGCAATTTCAAAGCTTTCTATCCTTGAGATTTGCCAGCCGAGCAAGCTGTTTATAGTCAAACAGCAAAAAGAAAGCATTAGGAAGAAATAACGAAACGCCGAAGATTAAATACCCTTTAAAACATTGTTCCTATTGGAACCAAAAACTTATGTTTTCCAAGGAGAGTAGACTGCTAGCAGCTTACACTAGTTAAATTTGAAAAAAAAAAATATAAATATTAAAGTAATTTTCATGAATTTTATATTCGAGAATCCTGTTTAGTATAACCTTTTAATGGCTATGCATTTAAGATTGAGAGTTTTCGTACAAAAATTATATTTTTCAACATTACCTTCTTTAAAATAAATATAAGATCTAGTTATAAATATAAGATCTAGTTGGATAATAAATGCCGGCTGTGGTCTTATCAATAAGCAAAAAATTTATTGCTAGCTTAAAACCTGAGAAATAATTTATGTATAAGACAGGCAGATGAACATGGCTGGATCCAACCGGCATTAAATAAATCTGCGAGAATTAAAATCATAAGGCGACGTCCTACACAAAAAAATGAACATAGACTTCTTAACTTTATTTTATTTTACGTCTTGAGCTGGTAAGGTTAAGTATAGGCAATATACAAAGATATTCAATAGGAAATCAGCACGATTTATTGAGGCATATCTTAAAGATGTGTTATCGTTTAATCCTGTATAATAAAGTCCTGGAGCCCGAAAATATATTTCATTAAAATAAGTATAAATACTTGTATGTCTCCCAAATACTGTACAAGTTGCATCATGTTATAGTTTAGTCTAGTTAGTGACCTTGGTAAAAAAAACAGGCAGCTATTAAACTATATTACAATGAGGTAAAATGAGGAATATTCTTACAGAAACAGATGGTGCTAGGGCGTCCTCCTACATATCAGCAAGTAGCTTAAATCTTGCAAGAATAGGTACCTTCTCAATGGTGGAAATAATTCTTACAGAACACTTTCTCTTAGATGGCATTTGTCTTCTACTCACTACCTGCTTTGGATATTATTGGGTTAAAAATTTGTATTAAAAATTATGTACAATACTTGTTACAACACATTAAAATTTGGAATTTTCAATAACTATGACAGATTGAGCAGCTAACGAGCCATTAGTTTAGCTTAGATCGAGGAAAATCGTCATCGCTATATTCAGAGGGGGAGGTGGATTCCATCAGGGAAATGATTCGTATGTGTCGCACTGGATATTTAGTCTCCGTATCTGTCAGCACAAGGGAACTACTATAGCTATTAATTTCTCGTATTGTCTCGGACATGCTCATCTTGGGCTTACTTTTGTTATTGCTTTTAGCCTCGACCTGTGGCTCGCTTGTTTTTGGTGAAGAAGAAACAGAAAATGTTTTGGAATTGTTGTAGGCAGCCTTGAAATCATCGGTTAAGCAGAAAATCGAACTCTGCTGCTCCTTGGGTGACTCCTCACAGAGTTCCACTGGCGAATCGCACTGCTCCACCTCACAGGCTTCCGGCTGCGTCTTTGGGCTTGACGTATTCCCTCCAGTCAGCCGGTGATCACGTACGAGCTCGAAATTTATGCCACCAAAGACGGCTTCCTTGTTGTTGATCGTGTTGCGCACATCGATAACACAGAATGTGAGTATCTCCTGGAAAATACCCAGAGTATTGGCCTCCTTGATGCCCGCATCGGTAACCAGCAAACAGCCTAGTACACAGCCAGTCTCCAGATCTCTAACATTCACATGGTAGACATTGTCCGCTCGCAATAGGATCGTCAGCGCAATGTCTTGAAAGCAACGCTTGCCCATCATTTTGAAGAGAGCATACTGCATGCTGCTAAGGACGGGTAGCTTCTTGTCCTTGCAAAACTGACACTGGCTCGAGACTTTGCGCTCCAGTGTGGAATCATTTCTATTACAGATAAGTTTTGCTGACGACTTTTTTATGCAGACGCACTTGGTCAGCTTTCCCTTCTCACTCTCCAAACCCTTGCACTTTTCATTTAGAGTACAAACAGTGCTACAGAGCTGCTTTAGTTGATTGTTCATCACATTCAGTTGTTGCTTCTGCTCTGCTTCTTGCGCGATCTGCTCCTCCAGTTTCTTTTTTAACAAGCATAGTTCTATGGTTATATTCGGTATTTTTTCACATTCGGTGCACTTTGTAGTGCACTGAACGGGCTCTGATCCTACTCTCGATTCTCGAGAATGGTGCCTGTCGGACCTCAGACTCTCCTTCGATGGAGCACCCACCAATTTTTCTTGACATGGACAATTTACGGGCTGCACTTTTTGTGTTGATCGGCAAGTCTTAGTCTTCTTCTTGTCCCTAGACAAACAGCATTTGAAGCGCATTTTGGAATTATCTTTTTTGCCTTGTGGGCTTGCTTCATATTTCCATTTTGATGGCACCACTATAACTGGACGCTTGCAAGTGCATTTGCACTTGGCTTTTCTTTCAGACTTTTTCTTTCTTTCTTTCCCTACCACCTTCACTTTCTCATGTCCTTTCTCTGCGCAGGTGGGCTCATCACAGACACATCTATCAGACTGCACTTTAGAGACGGTTATATACTCCTTAGATGCGTATGTATCCTTTCTTTTAATTTGTTTCTGAGAAGTGGTGGGCTTAACATCATCGCACACGCATCTATCAGACTGCTTTTTGGAGATGGGTATACGAACGCACGAAAGGGACAATGAGCCGACGGATGGAGTAAAGCGTCCACCAGCGGGCATGCGACCATGGCGATTGATCCTCTGTGCAAGCAAACCACGACCTCTTGAAAGTAACCAATCTAGTCGTTCCACGCGTATTCGGGCACTCAAATATCGTTCATATGTGCGTGCAGCATCTGTAAGCATATATATATAAACACGGATGGAATAAAAAACAATTTAGTCTCTCCGGAAGGCTGTCAACATTCCGGTGAAACTATCAAAATTACCCATTGTTGTCGATTAACTGGAAATTTACTTGCATTCCAAACAATATCAACTCAAACTACTCTCATCTGTCTGTATTTCTCAACTGACACCTTTGTAGCACCATTTGACAGCTTGACGCTTGCTTTGCATTGTTCCCAGATACAAAACCAAGTATCATAAGTGAACCTAATTTCTTTACCTAGTTACTGACAGCTGCCATCCCCTTTGAAGTCGTAGATATTCAAAACATTCCGTTACCTTTTCATGGCTACTGCGTTCAAGCCTTTGCCAGTTTATGGCTTTGTCTAGGAATGATAGTGTCTTGTTTTTTTTTGTTTTTTACACAGATAGATTTCAATTTAAAGCAGCAACTGCACAGCGTTGAATTTCAATTGGATGTCAGATTATTATTACTAATAATCATAATAATTATTAATAATTATTGCTGTTCATATTATTATTTATATAATTATTATTAACAGTGTGTAAATAGAATTTAACATTTAATATTACAATTCTTTAAATTTGTCTATGGCTAAAGCAACCCTTTCTCCATTTCGAGCCCAGATCCTCGCCATTCAGTTGCATACTAAGAAAGGGCACAGGGGCCTCGTAAATAAAATACCCAGAGTTTTTTCATTTTTACCCAACATATATAAAGAACAGCAATTGTTAATCCTGCTTTTAAAATTTCACTGCAAACTGAAGTGTGTTATGTATTATGTACATCTATATAATACAATAGTCTATAAACAAATTTCTGAAAAAAAAAAAAAAAAAATAAATAAAAATAAAAAACATTTGAGCATAGCCACAAAAAGCATAAAATTCGTTTTGTCCCATTCAATCTGCGGTCGGATTAACTTAACAAAGAAATATTTATATCAAAAACGTTTTCAATCATATTGTTTATTCATATTATCCATAGTTGGCACACAGAAACCACAAAACATTTAATGCATTGGCAACATTTTTACTTGAGATATAATATTTTATAAAATTGCATTTTGACTATAATGCTTAAATGTGTTTGTGGGATATAAATTTGGTTCTACTTTTGTGTGTATTTGCATTTTTTGATTTCTTTCGCGTTAGTGGATTGGTTTTGTATGTTATTTATTTTAAATTTACCTGTATTTATGTTTATTTATGTATGTTTGGCTTTTATACCAGATATATTGAAAACCGTTTGTAAAAAAAACTTGCAATGCTTTTGTAAAGCTTCATTTGAATATTTATTATAGTATGGTTTGTAAGAGGATTTGTTTTCCAGAAGGATTTGTCTGTTAGTAAAAGGCAAAGTTGTGTTCGATTTGGATATGACAAATAAATGCATTGATTTTTACAAAGATTTTTTGTAGGTTATTAATTCGAGTCTAGATAAAATAGATTACAAAGAGACTTTCTACGAATAATTTTCCTGTAGTTATTAATATTTAAACTTTTACGTTTATATCTAGAGCTATCAATTTACTTGCTTTTGGCATTTTGGCCCTTTTGCCCACAACTTTCTGGACTGCATTCTCATTATGTTGACTATTTAATTTTCAGCTTTGAACTAAGCACTAAGCGGCCATTTATTTGTTTTTAAGTTTTTAATATTTGGATTTTATATGTTTTGATATAAATTTTGACTAATTTGCTGGGCTTGCACAAAAGCTAAATTAAACGATACGTAACTCCTTATTATCTTAAGCTTAAGAGCGGTTATATTAACAACTTAGAATATTAATTAGTACACGTTACACATTACACGAGAAGCGATCAGGCAGCAAATCAGACACTAAGGAGGTTAACCTGGCGACGCCTTAAAGCTAGACAAAGCACATGGAATTTTGGGGGCACATCCACTTACAGATTTACATTAACTCAGTGGCAATGCCGCAGCAGCTGTGCCAGAAGCAACACCGACAGCAGCTGATAGATGGGCGGCAGCAGGGCTCCGGCTGATACACGTGGCTCCAGGGACAGAGTCTTGCATTTTTCCACTTTCGTATAGTCACTGAAGCCGGCCAGATTACGCGAGGCAGCGCGTATCAGATAGACGGTATCCGGCTCCAGGTTCGTTATGAGAAAATTGGCACCTGTCGCAGAGAAATGGAAAAGCTATTGTTGAATAACGGCAACCAGCTGATGCAGCTGCCGCTGCCGCTGCCTCTGCTTACCCTCTTCGTAGGGAAAGTCCTTGCGCTTGGCATTCGTCCATTTGCCCGCATCCGTTTTGAATTCCAGCTCCGTCATATACTCGATGCGAAACCCATTCACATCCATGGGTCCGAGCTGATCCTTATCCCGCGGCGCGCTCAAATCCACATCAAAAGTATTCGAGTTGTAGCCGCGCAGCTGAAAGACGAGCGGCGGGGGTGGCTTTTCGCCCTCATCCAAGCGCGTGATGCGCTCAATGCTGCCCAAATGATTGTGTGCACGGCACCGATAGCTGTCAAAGACCTTCGCATCGAGGACATGGATGGTTAGGCGCGACCAATAGTTCTCCGTCTCAATGGTGTAGAGCTTCTCATTGCTTTCCAACCGTTTTTGTTTGCGGTACCAGTTAAAAGTAGCCGGAGGCTCCGCCTGTGCCTCGCACATGATGCTCGCTGTGCCATTGATGTACGCGTATTGCAGGCTCAAATGCGACTTGAGCGTCCAGTGAGGCTTATCTAAATCAATTTAATTAAAGACTGCACTATAACTTTTATTTATTAAGCATTTCTCTGCAGTCTCTGTCTGACTGCATTCAATGTTCAGCGGTCCCTCAAAAGTATGCTACGAAATATGCAATCACTCATGCGCTTTCAGCATAAATCAAAAATGGCCGTCATTTCTTTGCGCAAGTAAAGTCATTAGCTACATGTGTACCACGCCCATTGCACGCCCCTGCACAGAGCATAAGACATATGCGAACTAAGCTTATGTAATTTTAAAATATTTCGTGCTCAAAAAACTATTTGCCGCTCGGTGCGCTGCATACTAAAACGCGCACAAATTTTAGAGGCGCTCGTTAAGCTGCTCAAGTAATTTCCCTGCCATTCAATACAAAAGCACACTGGGTCGGGTATGCGTTAAGGTACGAAAAAAAAAAACAACTAAATAAATAAAATGGTTAAATTTAATTAAGAAAATTTTGAGTTTTCGCGAGATCAAGGCTTAGGTTCGTTTTGGCAATTCAAATTCCTCTTACATAATCAAAATATGAACACCTCTGACTCGCTACAATAAACTATAAGCTTATAATACTGAAAACTTAAAAACCGATAAAGAATAAACGTCGCATAAAAATAAATTGTATTTGGGATAACAGCTAGAAAGACATACAAGGATTTATATTTGATGATGTGTTTGAACTAAAGGTTTTACTATTATTTTGGTACTCTTTAATAAAATCCATCGTATCTAGGCGTCTTCTAAAGATTCCTTATTTTCAAACTCCTGTCGTATCATGCCTTATTTCTCTAAAGCCCACTTTTTAAACCTATTGACTAGCAGGTGCAGAATTTTATTTGCTTTTGTTTCAAAAACTTTTTGTCCAGTGTGCATTGGCTGAGTTGAAAAATCATAAATCACACTCACGTTCGATTTTCATCAAAACTGTGCGCTCCTGCATATCGGAAGCAATCGAATTCACTTGGTATGCCCGGCACGTGTACTCGCCGGTGTCACTCTGTGTTACCTTGTTGATGAGCAAACCATCGGCCAGGATGCGAAATTTCGAAGCGTTTGCTGCCAAAATGAGAGAAACATGATGATAAACGGGTGCAACGAGAAAATCCACAATAAAGCGAGGATATCCAGAAAATAAGACTGCAGCGTTGTGTAAAGCTCATTAGGATTGGCGACTCACCTTCCACGCTAATGGGCTGTCCATTGAAATGCCAGGTGACATTCGGTTGCGGTTCGCCCTTCAGCTCGCATAATATTGTAGCTGTTTGACCCTCCTTTACGGTCAGTACGGTATCCTTTTCGGTGAATGTAATTTTCTCTGTGTGTGCGTGTGCGTGGGCGCGTGTGTTTGTGTTTGGCGAGAATACAATGAAAAATTAATGAATGTGGTTGTTGGTCGGTTGTTCGATCTCTGCACTTACGATACACAATCAAATCGAACGATTTACTATGCAGCCCACCCTCAACAGCCTCGCAGGTCCAATTGCCCTTGTCCGCCAGTGCAATGTGTGCAAAAACGATTTTCAATTGTTCTGTGCGGTAGAGGAAGTAAAAAAAGAGAATAAATCAAATACATAAGTAAACAGCGAAGTGGACCTTGGTTTATAGTTCTCGGCTACGAGAGATTCTGTTCCAAGCTTTAAAGCAATGTACATTGATTTTTTGCATTTATAATTAAGAGATTTATCCACTGACACCTAAGTGTATTATAGCATTAGTATTTTTATGCACATTAAAATCTAACAAAGTGCGAAGAATAACTATCAAGTATATTTTATTATTGTTAAGCTGGTAAAAAACCCAAAACATTTATCGATAGATTTATTCATCATTTTGTTGTCAAACTTATACCTTAAACTAACTGTTAGTCTGAGAAAATAGATTTTGCTTGGAATTATTTATTTAAATAAAATACCATTATATTCATATGCTCTCAATCAGAACAATATCAATCGAAATTCGTTACCATACCGATATATTTTCAGTGAATGGGATCTACATACAAGAGTCTAAGAGTCTAAGAGTCAAGCAGCCATTTACTGAATATGCTTTCTAAAATCTGTAAAAATTTTGTATTTTACAAAAATATTTTTAATAAGCTTTACGATGTTTTGGGAATAGGTTTAATTTACTATTTAAGACTGTACTTATTTAAATTCATTTAAATCGAGTGTTTTTATAAGGATTATATAAAATCAAACTTCTATTTGGTATAACTTCTATAGGGTAAGCCTAGCGCAATTAAACTTCTTTGAATCAAGAGGTTAAAAGAGATTTTCAAAACAAAAGCCAAGCACAATTGTCTCCCCCGTTTTGGAGAGCGTGTAAAGCGATGCAATTAATTTTATTTATTTGTTGTGCCTGCTAGCGCGAAAATTCTTTGGCTCAATTGATTGTTTGGCTGCATTTCGCCTGGACTCACCTGGTGCCGTTTGCTCGATGTGTATGCGTCCTTTGTGCTCGT